AATTTTATTATATTGACCTTTCACCCTTGCCTGGCTAACAATACAGCAGTTACAATGATGCAGCGCACATGTACTCATGTTACCCTATCCAATAATATTGTTGCGTATCTGATAGTTTGTTAATTTTCGGTATAAATTCTTTCCGAGAAACTTCAGCGATACAAGTCCTTTCTTAATTAAAACTAGTTTATTCTTTCTCGATATAACTTTGCAATACACAGAATTTCCACAGTCACTTTAAACTTGACTACTTTTATGAACACACGCTATAAATCACAGTGATTCACACACTTTACTTAAGGCTTGACTCAATTATCTCCATCTTCAATCTCTCTATATATCTGCAATTATCTCTCCGCTTTATTTGCCGGGCTCATATACTAAAAAAGAGGGCACCTAGAACAGACTGGAGTTGCCAGGAAAAGTCAAGATCCTTCGAGAATCTCATGATGTGTTACCAGTGTCATGTGACTTCTGCTGTCGTAACACTGCCCCTTCCTTAGTATTGTTCGTTCCGAACAATAGCCACTTACATTAAACCAATAGATAAATAACAATAACTTAATTAAATGTACAGAAATTACAAACACAAAATTAAAATTCAACAAAGTCTCTTAATTTTACGGGACGCATCTTCTTCCGTACTGGTCTCCGTCTCATTGGCTTCTGCTTCACGTGTTACCAGCATCATGTGACTTCTGCTGTCATAACAATATAAAACTTACCTTTAGTCTTTACAAAAAGACCTGTCTTGGCTATGTCTTAGTCGACTAGTATTTTGTAAAGCACAGTTACATTTCAATTATTATATATTATATATGGATATAGATTATTGCTATTTTGAAATAAGTTTTAAAGTTATTTTTCCTAAAACATAGAACAGTAAATCAAGAAGTAAAGCAAACAATTATCTCATCTAGTTATGACCTTTGTACTCGGTCGCTGCTCGACGTAAATTGCCAAGCCGCTAAAAATTTTCCACGTGGAGGATATGAAACAAAATTATTTTTTTTTAGTTTTGATATATATATACTTTTGAATAACAAAAAATCATAAATTACTACATCAATACCATATAATTGTACTATAATTTATCTAGTAACTACGCTGTATTTGGGTCTAAAAAAATAAGATATTTCGAGCAGACTACAGACACAACCTGAAATCTTGGTTCAAAAGAAAGAATTGGTGCTATGTCCTTTAAAATGGCTAAGAAAGCCACTAGGGGACATTCTATGCTTCCAATTGGTTATTCATGTCATACATAGTGTATATAAGGGAGCGTTTCCAAAAATGGAAAGAGGTGACCGGGGTGGCACTGTGTTTGATTTATTACGTAAGCAATATCTTAGCAAATAGAAAAGATAAGACCTTCTTATCTTATATTCTAGCTTGTCAATATCTGTAATTTGAGTTTCTAATTCAAATGAAACTATAGACTTAGTATTTTGATTTCACAAACATCTAATTTGAACCAGTACTGCATTGAACATACCATGTGACACACAAAAATCAATGTTTATCCGTGTTTTTTTAATATTTACTTTTACATTTACAAATTGAGTAATGCATAGTTCTAAAATGTGATTTATAATCTACATTTTGATACCAAACTTATTGGCATAAATTCAT